CTTTTAAATTCTTGAAATTCTATAATTTGATTTTAAATACAACCAAAGATAATAAATTTTGATTATAACACTAATAGAGTTTGTAAAAAATTATAACCACTCGAAGTGATAAAATTTCTATGTCTTGCCATGATCAAATTCATGTACGATTGTGAGAACAAGAAGTGGAAGCCCATCCCATTGAATTTGCTTCATTCTCGTTCCCTTAAAGAGAATGTGGTAGCAACATGTGATAAGTCTAAAAGAAGACAGAATTATTACCGTAAAGGTATAAATGGATGTGAACGTGGCAATAAACTAAATTATAATTGTCATCATTGTGGTAATGAGAACAATAAGGATTCTCAAAATAATCCTTCACTTTGTGAAAGTAATATTTGTCATCGATTTGACATGAGATTTTGTAAAGCACATATAGATGATTATGGTCCAGTAATGATGTGAATGTGACAACATGTGATTTATAAATACATATTCATTCTTGCAAGAATATGAACGTGCTAGTGGTAGTGAATAAATCACACTTACCTATAGAAGGAGGTTTGCGATGAAACTAGAAAATAATTTCATTATTATAACATGAATGGTCATTGGTCATGTACCTATTGTGATTAACCAAAATATTATGGCAATGCGATTATTATATGGCAAAAGTAATAGAAGCAACATATCTTGTCTTTAATAATTTTGACCATGACCATAATAGTATAACTTTCTCCTTTAAAGAGATATTTACCATATAAACGTTGATGAATATATGGTAGTAAAAAATTAATTGAAAGCTCTGAAAGAGCCAATTATACCATTTTGGAGAAATAAAATTGATTATCAATAAGATATTATGTCGTAGTAAGTCTCAAAGAAACTTATTTAGTTTCTAAAGTATTCACGGAAGCGGTTGGTTATATTGAGACTATAAATAAAGGAAAGATTTAATATCTTCTATTACTACAACTTATAGCTGGGTAATATGTATGTGAAAAGCTACCCGCTTTATTCTCCAATTTGTACTACATAAATAAAAAATACCATAGTAAAGTAGAAGTTTATTGATATAAAAACTCATATCATAATAAACTTGGAGTATATTAATAATTGCATACGTCACAGTGTAAACCTGAAATTTATCAATATTGATAATTTATCCATCTGGCATAATTGTTTTAGCTATGTTCATTTAAGTATAATGTGCAGAAATAAAAGAGAATTCACATGGGTACACATTAAAGAACTTGAAAGTTCTTTAGAATTCTCTTGTGTTGCTTGTTCTCATTAATTAATAGACCAACTAAAATTGGGATTGAATCCCATAAATTTTGAAAATATCAGAGGTGAATATGGGCACATTCACCTGCATGTATACTACATAAGTTGTATCTATGAGATGGTTACATGTGCGATTATTATTAACCCGCAACACGGTGTTTCTCAGATAACCTCAATAATTTAATTTAGAGTATATTCCAGATCTTTTATTGAAGATAGTTCATCTTGATAAGTTGGTTTACATCACAGTTGATTTAGCAAAATAATTTATTGAGTGTCTCAACTTAATAGCTAAACTATTGCTTATGAGCACAAATGTATCTATATCGGTTTGATATACGTTATATACGAAAATATATTACATTCTCCCCTCACAAGTAGTTCAGGGGTAGGAACCAAATAATTTCATCTTATTATTATTAATATGCAGTGTATATTTTGATTAACACCATAACACACAAAGGTGAGTTTTCAAAGTTGAGGAAGCAAGTTAGTTTTTCTAACATAAGGGGGAGACAAGATAAAAGTTGAGAAAAATTTACGTGTAATGAATTATCATTTGTACATCTAGATCCTCGAATAAGATCATATGAACTTGAAGTTCATAAAAGATAATTTGCAAAGCATGTCAGCCGCATTTGCTTACCCAAAAAAAATAACTATATTCTTACTGCAAATGGTCCTATCAGAATAAGTTGTAGAAGGACAAAATCTATGGTACGCTTGAAGCGTATAGACCAATCAGTTTCAAAATTCTTGATAAAGAAGATGAGCAAATGATCTAAATGATCATAATAAGGAGGCAAGTGATCTAAAAGATCACATGACGTAATACATCATAAAATCTCAGGAGAGGTTTAGGCACCTGAAATATAAATGAAGAGACCTCTTTATTATGTCTTTATGAAAGGAAAAAAAAAGGTTGGAACAGATATAAAATGTTCGTCAACTACATCTATGATAGCGCTAAATATATACGAGGATCTTAAGTCTAGGAAACAATTCAAGTAGGATTGGTTTCATATGAAAGACATGTAGTTTTGGACATGAGGTTCAAACACTCGAAAGTATAAGGTCAATGGTGTGTGCAATCACTTTTATCTATCTTATGTCTAGCATGACATAAAAAACTTGATATGCATCTAAAGTCCATTCATATGGCTTATATGATTTAACTTATATGACAATCCATGAAGGATTTAAATTGCTCAAAGCATATACAATTCTTGGTCATGAAGTACTACATCCTAATAATGTGATAGGGAGAATTTTTAAGGTGCAACATATTGATTGGAGTTAATATGGCTGATTTATTCACCAAATCTCTGCCGACGTTAACCTTTAAGAAGCTAGTGCACATGATTGAGATGCGAAAACTCAAGGATATGAATCTATGCTCTCATCAGGGGGGAGTTAATACGCGTTGTACTCTTTTTCTCTTACAAGGTTTTGTCCCACTAGGTTTTCCTTGCAAGGTTTTTAACAAGGCTACTAGAAGACATATTATTAAACATGTGTACTCTTTTTCCTTCACTATAATTTTTTCCCAGTGGATTTTATTTTAGTTAAGGTTTTAACGAGACACATTATCTGTTAGATAGACATTCAAGAGGGAGTGTTATAAATAGAATTGTATATAAGGTGAATGTCTATATTTTAGAGAGATCTTATGGTTTGTTACTTGGTGGCTAAGTCTCTTTTTCCTTATAAATAAAGAGATTTTATTCAACTGTAATTCACTCCAAATTAATAAAAATTCCATCTCCCTACTTTTTTCTGCAATACTCTTCGTCATCTTTTATTGTTTCATAATACTTGGTAAATTTTAGTATAAGAATACTTAATTATTAGTTCATAGGAAAAAAAATAGTTACTTTAATCAACGGGTAAATGTGTTAATTCATATTCCTGTAATGTAGAGATTAAGTGGGCGTTTGGACACAAGAATGGTAAAATTTTGAAAAAAGTGAAGTGTTTTAAAGTGAAAATGGTATTTGATAATTGCAGTTTGTGTTTGGACATGAATACAATTTTAGGCTGTTTCTGAATTTTTGTGAGTGATCTGAAGTGAAATTTTGAAAAATAGTTTTTTGGAATTTTTTAAATTTTCGAAAAATTCTGAAATTCATATTCCAGTGAAAATTAAAAATTTTATGACCAAACACTGATTTCGAAAAAAATAAAATAAAAATCGAAAAAGTGATTTTTTTTTATGGCCAAACAGCCATTAAGAGTGTGTTTGGTACAAAGAAAATATTTTTTAATTTTTTTTCATGTTGGATTTATTTAAATATTTTGAAAAATATTTTCCTCATGAGCTCCTTTTCTTTAAATTGGAGAAAAATAATTTTCCTACCAAAAGNTCCCATGTATTTACCAAAATTATATATTATTTAAAATCATATATTTCCACTCACTAACCACCACCATCAACAACAACCCAGTAAAATCCCACAAGTGAGGGGTGTGGGGAGGGCAGTGTCTACGCAGACCTTACCCCTACCCTGATGGAGCTAGTAGATAAATTATTTTCGATAGATCATCGGCTCAAGAAAAAGCAAAAGATGAAAAGAGACAATATATCAATACCATATCAACAGAAACCATAGAAATAATAACAACATCATAAGAACTAGAAAAATAGATGAAACACAATAACAATAACCAGTAAATAAAGTTCGGTGCTATAAAAAACGGAAGAATAGTGTGAACACAATAAAAACCGTCTAAGACAAAACCTATTAGACTAGCCTCACACCCGATACGAAGTAGAAAAATGCTCAACTACCTCCTAACCTACAACCCTAATGCTCGACCTCCACACCTTCCTATCAAGGGTCATGTCATTGGAAATCTGAAGCCACGTCATGTCATGCTTGATCACCTTTTCCCCAATACTTCTTAGGCTGCCCTCTACCTCTTCTCGTACCTGCCAAAACCAACCGCTCACACCTTCTTACCGGGGCATCATAACTTCTCCTTCGCACATGTCCGGACCATCAGAGCCTCGCTTCTCGCATCTTGTTATCTATAGGAGCCACACCCACCTTCTGCCAAATAACTTCATTCCTAATCTTATCCATCCTAGTGTGCCCACACATCCACTTCAACATCCTAATTTCTGCTACTTTCATCTTCTATATATATGAATTTTTAACCGGCCAACACTCTACCCCATACAACATGGCCGGTCTAACCACTGTTCAACTTACCTTTGAGTATTTGGCACCAACCAAATACTAAAGATATCTTTTGAATTTTTTTTTTACTCTTAATTAAATATGAAAACTAAGTGATAAAACTACTTATTTTTTTTTTAGGAAAACATGAAAAACTTTTTCCTCCCCGCCAAACACACCCTAAATAAAACAAGACATGGAAAGTAATTCAAGAACCAAAAATATTTTCCCTTTTTTTTTTTGTTGTTGGTTCCTTAGGGGAGGGGTTAATGCAACTGCAACGAAATTGCAAAGAGTCCACCGAGTAAAACCCAAAGGAATCCCAAAAGCGACTTTTTCGTCCTATTAAAAAAGACTCTAAAAGCGAAACATTCAATTAAGTACCCAAACTATCTCACAAACCACTGAAACACTGCCACGTAAGTTGCTATGAGCTGGCAGCATCACCCGCAGGTGAAGTAAAAGAATAGGGTCAGATCTGGAAATACGAGAAAAATTAAGGGGCCTTTAAGAGCAAAACCCGTGGTGCTATTTGAATCACATCCCATTTATGGTTCAAAAAATCCCCTCCTTTTTATAGTTTCTCTCTCCCAATACCTAACCCTCTTTCTCTCTCTATATATTTAGCCTCGCTTTGTTGGCGGCTGAAACTCTCTCTCTCTCTAAAATCCGTTGTCTCCGCTCTCTCTTCTAGGGTTTCTTTCTCTCTCCTCCCATAAACCCTTTCCAAAATCTTCAGGGTTTCACTACTCCTCCTCCTTTTGAGAGATCTATCTTTTTCTTATGGCTGCTGGTGCTCCTCCTGTTGATCGTATCCTTAGCTTATATATTTACATATGGCTATTCAATGTTTTTTCTGTTAAAATCGACCCAAGTTTTGATTTTTACTTGTTTGTGAACGTATGAGTAGATTTATGTATGCTTAAAATTATGTTCTATGGGGTAGACTTTTTATCTGGGCCTTTATAGATCTGGATATTTGTTGCTGGTTTTAAGTGTAGGCTGTTAGTTTTTTTTATAATAAAGGATGTGTTTTTCAGCTGTTTTTTGATTTTTTATGCTTGGTTAATTCAGCTTATATATGTTGGGGAATTGAGTAGCTGATTTGGCGATTTATACGTTGATGTTTTCTTTTAAACAACAGCAGATATTTAGTTCGGTTTAGAATTCTGTGCTAATTTTAGTACAAATACAACAACAGCTATGCCTTAGTCTCAGCTATATGAATCCTCAGTTACTATGTTATTCCCTATAAACTCGTCTCAGGCCAATATTACAAAATAAAATTAATAATGAAAAAAATAAAATATCTAAGTGTTTTAGTAAATTTATTGTTTACCTAATTTTAGTAAATTTTGTTATTTACATAATTTAAAATGACCTATTTGTTGATTCCAAATTTGATAAGTATTAGTGGAAGTTTGTCTTGGCTTTAGTTGTTAATGAACTCGTTTGATAAATTCTATGGAGAAGTGGCATTCCTTTACGATTTACTGCTATAGAAGCTGCAGGCTTGCTGCAGAATTTGTCATTGGATTCTCAGAATAGGAATCTTGAAATTACAGAGCCAAAAAAGAAGGTGATTTTCCTTTTAGTTGTATTTTTTCTAAATGCTTTGTTTCAGTCAATTGGTCTACAGTTCTTAATCTGAAATTTGTTCCCTTTTCAGCCTTCTGTGGACTCAAAAGATGTGGGAAATGGTCAGATCCAGTCCATGAATCGGTCTGTGACCCCTCTGTTGCCGGAATTCATAGATCCGAATTTTTGTTATCTTCCTAATGGTTATCCCTCTACTGCAGCATACTATTATGGTACTCCCTCTTATCCAATTTATGTGACCTATTTCTTTTTTAGTTCGTTTAGAAAAAAAACTACCTTCTAAATACGGAAACAATTTAACTTGATGTTTAAACAATTTAGGACTTACTAGTTTCAAAAGTACTACAACCACAAACGTTATGGCATGTTTAAGACCACAAGGTTCAAAAGTCTTTGTTTCTTTCTTTAACTATGTAACCATGCAAATGGTATGGCATCTTATAACCACAGGTAACCTGTTTCATGGTAACATTTTTTTTGTTCTGCTCTAGGATATGATGCTTCTGGTAATGAGTGGGAGGACTATTCAAGATATTTGAATCCGGATGGAGTTGAGATGCCTGTAAGTTATTCTGCTTGAATTCTTGCTACAACGTTAAATGTGTTAAATCTGTTTGCTGTATTAATTTTTGTGTCATGGAAATTCTTTGTTGCTGTCTATAGTTGCTTTTAAGCTCGAGCAAATATTGGTCTGTGTGTGGATTTTAAATGAGTTAAAATGCAGGGAGTTTATGGGGATAATGGGTCGCTTATCTATCATCATGGCTATGGTTATGCACCCTACAGTCCATATTCACGTGCTACATCCCCTGCCCCAACTTTGGGGCATGATGGCCAGCTCTATGGATCACAACAATACCACTATCCGTATTTCCAGCCCCTCCCTCCAACCAGTAATTCATACACTACTCCAGTTGCCCTGCCAAAAGGTGAGATCGCCACCTCTGCTGCTGCTGCTGACCATGCATCGTTGTCTGTTGATTCTGCTAATGGAATTTCTAATGGCATTGCCAATGGTGGTGTAAAGGGAAATGCTGGGCCTACGCTTGTGAGGCCTGCATTCCAGAACCCATCCGTAAATGCTAATGGTTCTTATGGGCGGGGTGCGTTGCCTGGAGGAGCTGCTTCAGGTTATCACGACCCTAGATTAGGTTTTGATGGTGTGCGATCTCCCATTCCATGGATAGATGGATCAATGTTCACTGACGGGCAAGGTAGGCTAGTGTCGAGCAATTCTTTTACACCATCTTTTTCAAATGGCAGTGCCGTTCCATCATCAAAAAATCAGAATGTTCATCCGCATCTAATGGTATGTTATTTGAGAACATGAATATGTTCTTTCTCTTCCATATTTACCGTCTCCTTAAAGAGACTTAAGAGTACCTACTCCAGCTTTTCATTCTCAGGGCTTCCACCACCCAAGGCCCTCTTCTGGCATGAACACAACAAATGGGT